CCCCCCCCCCCCCCCCCACACACACACAGAAAGGGCTAGGATTATGGGGGAATCTTCAGAACACAAGTTAAAAACTGTCGTTTTATTGAACTAATATATCGTAATTTATTTAAACAGCCCCTTATAGCTAGATTTCTATTTTTAAATAACATTGCAGCGAATATATTTATGTATATGTGTGAGTATACATATCTATCTGTATTTTTTTATTTACTGATTGATTTGAGAAAGGGGAGACAGAGAGACTTGTTCCACTTATTCATATACTAGAGGCCCAGTGCACAAATTTGTGCATTAGTGGGGTCCCTTGGCCTGGCCTGCAGGACAGGTTGAGAACCGCTGCCTTAAGGGGTCCTGGACTGTGAGGGGTTGCAGGCCAGGCTGAGGGACCCCACCGGTGCACAATTGGGGCAGGGGAGGGATGCAGGAGGTTGGCCAGCCGAGGAGGGACCATGAGAGGCCTCCAGGACATGTCTGGCCCGTCTCACTCAATCCCAATAGGCCCAACCCTAGCAGCAAACTAGCCTGCTGGTTGGAGCGTCTGACCCCTGGTGGTCAGTGCATGTCATACGGACTGGTCAACCGATTGACTGTCTGCCCCTGGTGGTCAGTGCACATCATAGCGAGCGGTTGAGCGGCCTTAGCATATTATTAGCATATTATGCTTTGATTGGTTGAATGGCCGACCAGACGATTAGACAGTTAGCATATTGGTTGATTCTTGTATGTGCCCTGACCAGGGATCAAACCCAAAACCTTGGTGTATTGGGACTATGTTCTAATCAACTGAGATGCCTGGCCAGGGCTTTATATCTTGTTTTTGAGTAATTTCTTGGTATGCTTATAAAATTTAGGTCCTTCCCCTAAAAGTTTTTTCAATTTACATTAGCCATTAGCAATGTATGCACCATCCAATTTCATCATATGTTCACTAGCATCTGGACATTTAAATATTACTTAAAATATTATTCGACATTATTACTAATTTAATAGATCCAAAATTGCATTACCCTGAATGTTTTTTAAAAAGAGACTTTATTTTTTGAAAGTTTTAGGTTTACAAAAAAATTATGAAAATGATAGAGAATTTCCCTATAGTCTCACGCCCAGTTTCCCCTACTATTAACTCCCACACTCATTACTATTAACTAATATATTAATATATTACTAAGAGTGAGGCCATTTAGCAACCTATCAAGAATAAAGAGAACAGATTACAGCAAACAATAGCAGGGAAAAGTCTTTAGCAATTCTAATTCACTTCGGGTTTTTGGGACAGAATGTCCCCCAAAAATGTATACACACTTTAACAGTTGATAGCTCAATTTTGAAAATGAAATGTATTTTAATAAACACTGCCTTTATTCATTTTTGGGACACTATAAATACATATATATGAGTTACTACAACTGAATTCTTTTCTACACTGTGAAATAATAGTTTATGAAATTACAGAAATTCTGGTCATGATATTTAAGTGAAATAATCAACATATATACACACACAAATAGAAGACCTCATTTTAACAAATGACATGAAAAAAATTAAGAACCTATAACTTCACTTAGGAAATGTTTTCCAACAAATAAATGCTGTCTCCCTATCATTTCAGGAGCCAGATGAATTGAAAGCCATAGAAAGAAGCAGCTGTAGAATTTGATCTTGCAATTACCCCATGTACCTTTACTGAATATAGCCATAATATTGTCATATTGTCATGATCTCACTAAAGGGTTTCTAGTCGCTGACAATAAAAATAAAACCCCAAATACATTTTTATTCTTTGTACTGAGTGCATTGTCTGTTTTCTTTGTAAATGCAGTAGTACAATAAAAAAAATCATCCTATAACACCCCCCCAAAAAAAAACACACACACTATCGCTACATTACTATTAACTAAAATCCACAGTTTATGCAGATTTCCTTCGTTTTTACCTAATGACTTTTTCTGTTCCAGGATCACATCCAGGAAAGCATATTGGGTCATTATGTCACCTTAGGTTTCCCTGCCTGTGAGTCTCTCACTTTCCTTGTTTTTGATGAGCTTTGAGGAAAACTGGTCAGATTTTGTAGGATGCCTTATCTTGGAATTTAACTGAGGGTTTTGTGATGATTAGACTTGCGCTATGGATTTTGGTAGGAAGTCTACAGTGCTTAAGTGTCATTTTCATGGCATCATACCAAGCGTACATACTGTCAACAACATTTATGACTGTTGCTATTGACTTGGATCACCTGGTACAAGTACTGGTAGTGTTTTTTATGTTTCTCCATTGTAAATTTATTCCCTCCCCCGAACTTTCCACACTGAACTCTTTGGAAAGAAGTCATCCATTGTGTGCAGCACACAGTTAAAAGGTGAAGGTGTTTTTGTGCTCCTCCTTAAGGATGGAGTATGTACATAAATTATTTGGACTTCTGCATGGGAGATTTATTTACTCTTCTCCCCTCCCTTCCCTTCCCCTCTCTTCCCCTCCTTTCCTTTCCCTTCCCTCCCTTACCCTTTTCCCTCCCCACCCTCCTTCTTTTTTTTAATCCAATCATGTTTAATCAGGAGGGACTCATGAATCTTTACTTTAGATGTTGAGTTGTAATTCAATGATTATTACCAAAACTTTTCTCAATCTTATTCTGGTTGACCTTTCTGGCATAATTCCCATTAATGACCACTCCCTTTTTTCATGAAATTTGCCAACCCTTCTTGGGAGCTGATGTGTCTTATCCTAGTTCTTGACCAAACTCTCAAGGTCTTTGGACCTCATGCCTACTTACTGCTATGACTCCCTACCTGGTTTCCTGGACTCCAACCCCCTCCAAAACACTGATTTGGCTAATTTAAGTACATTTGTGATCATATTATATTCCTGTTTAATAACTTATAATTGCCTCCTATTGTCTCATAAATAATACCGTATTTGCCGGCATATAAGACGATTTTTTGGCCCTGAAAAATATGCCTCCAAGTGGGGGGTCGTCTTATACGCCGGGTACACTTCAGATAGACTGCCCATAGTGCTTGCCCCATGCCATAGTGGCCTCCCGATGCCCGCCCACTTCATTCCACATACCGTTCAGGCATCAGCAGCGCTGCTGGGTGT